GGGCCGACTCGACGGCACATAACAACAACAACAACAACATCAAGTGAGTTTCATTTTTTTATTGTCTGTTGTGCAGGACACAGTATTTGGTATTAATCTACACATGCTAATAAATGAGGTATTAGGTACATTAAGCGGAAGGAAGGTTGGGCGATCTACTTCCATAGTGATACCACCTTGGAAATCCAAGAAGGGGTGGCTATGAGTCAGATCCAACTCAGCGGCAATGAGTAAGGTACATTAAGGGGGTGTAAAATTCAGTATTTATCATGTACAATATATTTTTATTTTGCAACAATGAGTGTACTTTTAAATCTGCCTCCCAAGAAAGCAACAAAGGGCATTTATCAGAATATTATGTTTATATTTTATCAGAATATTTACATATCTCCATGTAAGGAAATCAAACAATTCCTCAAGGAAATAAATTAAATGAGTATCTAGAGAATGACAATTATACAAATGTGTTTTGTTTTCCATTTCCCTTCAGACTGACTTTCTTTTAAGAAATTGATTGATATAATTATGATTTGGCCAAACCAACTTGCTTGATTTAACTGGCAACTATTGGAATTTCCTCAGCAAGAGCAAAGAAGAGTGAAGAAAATCAAAGATACATGGAAACAGTAAGTCCAAAGGACTAGTGGACCATGAGAACCTCAACCTATATGACCCTGAGACCAGAAGAACTAGATGGTGTCTGGCTATCAATACCAACCACTCGGAAAGGGATCAAAATTGGAGATCCTGATAGAGTGGGAAAAGAATGTGGAACAAAACTCAAAATCATAAGGCCAGGCTTACTGGTCTGATGGAGACTGGTGAAACCCGAGACCATAGCCTCAAGTCACCCTTTGGGCCTCGTGATTTAACTCTCAGATAATCCTACAGGTGAACCAGGGAGATGCACTCCTCAGAATAATCAACCATGGGAATCAGAGGAACACCATTTGCACAGAAGGTAGGGAGGCAGGAATGCACAGGCAAGAAGGACACAGGGAAAGGGTGACCACGGGAAGGAGGTGGGAGGTGAGATGTGCACTGCGGGGAATGTAACCAGTGTCACAAAACAAAATGTGCATATGAATCGTTGAATGTAAAATGAATCTGCTCTGTAAAATTTCACCCAAATCACAGTAAATAGCTAAAAAAACCAAAAAACAAAAACACTCGCTTATCAAGAAGTGGTGCTATTGTTATATCAATTTTATATATATCTCCAAACAAGGAAGTTGAACAATTCCACAAAGAAATAAAACGTATATTTTATAAATTTTGTATACAATAACAATTATATTTTTCTTCTCATTTGGACTGGTTGGTTATAACCTCACATTCAGTGCTCTTGTAAGAACATAAGAATGTGCCAGTGGCAACACAATCATGTGACTTGTGATATATCTGGTCCTATTCTGCTTAAAGTGAACCCAAACATGTCGTAAGATTGAGCTCACACTTGTATTTGTGTCATGCTCTTTACAGTCACTCTTGCCCCTACTGAGCATCAGCAGGAGTACAGGAAACTGTGAAAACCCAGCATCCAAGGACGGAAAGCACGTGTGCAAGTTATTAAGTATTATTTCAAGATGAAAACCACTCACAGATGTTGCTGAGGGCTGGCCAACAAACATTGTAACACAATCAATGAAATTAATTCCAATGTAAGAAAGAGTAAATACTATTTCTTCTGACTATCTCAGACCTGAACAGCAAATTTACATGTTCCAAATCAATTTTCTGTACTTAGTAATTTTCAAATATAAATGTGTTAACATCCAAATTAGAATATAAATTTCATTTAATAAATTTTACTTGTTTCACAAAAAAAGGAGAAGACTCTCAACGAGATGGACTGACCCGGTGGCTGCAACGAGGAGCTCAAGCACCGCAGGGATTGTGAGGCTGGTGCAGGACCAGGCAGTGTTTCGTTCCGCAGACAGGGCCACTGTGAGCTGGAACCGGAACCTAACAACACTGCTTATGGGGTATGAGTTTCAGTTCATGGTGATGGAAATATCACACTGATTAAGGGTAGGGTTGTACCTCTGACTATTATAATTGCTGGCAATAAGCTGTACACCTGAAAAAGCTGACTTGGCAAACATTGTGTGACAGATATATTTACAACAATGACAAGGAAAAAGAAAAAAAAGAAAAAGTAGCTTCTGAGGCTGCCAATGTCAAACCAAACATCCCATGGGATTTGGTTCCTTGCTTTGGAGTTTTGGGGTCACAGTTTCATGGAACATCCCAGTTAATTGGCCTAATAAAGTGTTTAGTGCTTCTATTCTACCTCCTAGTTTGTGGCATAGTGGCTGAGGTTTTAAAAGCTTGCAAGTGGCCATCCAAGGCCTCCATTTGCCTGTAATAAGAGAGGAAAGAGTCAGCAATAGGAGGAGGATATGGAATGTGTGGCTAATTACCTCCATGAACAACTGCCTCCTTTTGCCAGGAGACCAGAACTCAATGGCAGAAGCTACCATCAATGAACACTTTTAATCAAAGATCCCACAGAAGAATCTTAATCACAAGAGGGGAAATGCAGAACAGAATTTCACATTCTCATAGTCTCTAGACTACAGCTGGAGCCATGGAGGCTGGATGAAGCACTGAAACTATTGCCCCGAGATCATCTTTAAACCTTCAGCCAAAAACATCCCCTGAACTCTTAAAACCAAGCAACAGTTTAGCTGAACTAGTAAATAACATTTGCCTTGAGCATTAAGATCCATCTATATGGGATGAAATTTACAACAGCAACTCCAAAGATTAGACAGGAACTGCAGGAGGCAGTAAGTTTCTGTTAAAGAGAGGGGGCCAATTCAGAAAAGGAGGGTGAGAATGGTTGCAAAACTCGCAAAATGTGACCAATGTCACTGAATTGTACATACAGAAACTTGAACTGGTATATGCTTTGCTGTGCATAGTCTCAACAACAGAGTAAAATCATAAGCAAAAACAAAAAGCCCTATAGTGTTGCCCACCAGGGTGACCAGCACATGACTGACATTTGGTGGTCATCATTACCCAGACCCACTGTGTCCCTACAAGCCAAATTCTGGAATTAAAGATGCTGGCAACAATACGAGTCACACATGTGCACACAAGAGACTCTCAGACTCCTCTTTAATGAACCTTGTGTTCAAGGGGCTGATTGGCTTTTCTTAGAGGAGATGCAGAGAACATAGGCAGAAGGGGGCTACCTAAGACATCAGACTTAGGGACAATGAGAACTTTTGGACTTCAGCACCCAAGTTCCCATCTGCATGTCTCAGAACCAGGTGCCAGTCTGCAGAGCAGAGCTACTGGGTGCAGGTTTGTTTTGAAGAAAGAACAGCAGGAACCAGCCAGCAGTGCTGATGAGAGAACAGACTGCTAACCGGTGACTACAGCTGAATTAATGTCAGTTCCTGCCTCAAAACTGACGATGATGATGCTAACACCCAACTCACAAGTGCATCAATAGCCCAGACATGCCGGACGTGAGCCACACCCACACCAGCTCCACCTGCACACGCTGGGGGTCCATACCAGCTCCAACTGTGCATGTCAGGGGCCCAGACTTGCCAGACATGACCCACATCTGCATAAGATCCAACTGGCTGCTTTAGGACAGGCCATGCAAAGCCTCACCAGTCAGCCCACCTGCCCTCAGTACCTTTTCTGTCTCCCGCTGCATAAGGTCCTGCAACTCTTCAGTCCAGCCCAGGAGCTTCGCCAGCTTCTCCACGCTGTGCACCACGTCCCCCAGCTGCACTACATCCCTGCCCCGGGGATGCCAGGCAAAGGTGCCCACCACATCCTGGTTGATGAGCACTCGAGGCACAGAGCTGCGGACACCTTCGGACAAGCTGGCAAAGGGCTCCACCTGGAAGGTAGCCAACAGAGAAGCCTGCCATCCCTGTGGAGGACGGGGCACACCTGCGAGGCCCAGTACCACACAGCTTACCTGGGAGGCCTTGGCAGACAGCATAGGTTGACCTCAGGCTTTTGGATGTGAGCAAAGCCCACTGCACACTCACCTCCTGTAGCCACCTTCCTGCCCCCACTGTCCTCCAAGTTCTGAGCCTCCCTCTTCTCCACCTCTGCAGCTCCTTGCCATTCCGTCTCACCAGGCAGCATACCTGGGCTTGAATCTTTCCATCCCGCCTGCCCTCTTCATCACCAGGTAAATATGCTTATCTCCCAGAGGTGGGCCCAAGTACCCCCAAAGCACCCAAAGCCACTCACAAGCTCCCAGAAGCAAGCTGACAGCAGCCCATCCCCTCTCCCTGCCCGTTTCCCCCACACACTCTCTGCCCTTGCCCTCCCTCCCCACACACCCCGTAGGTGCAGACCTCAAGAGAGGTCCCAAGGACGACCAGCAAGTCAGCCATGGGGAAATCGGCTAGGTGCAGCAGGAACTTCTCTGGCAGTGGCTCCCCGAAGAATACGATGTTGGGCTTCACAATGCCGGTGCAGACCCTGCAGCAGGGCACCCTGTCCGCCAACACGTCGGCCTGAACACGGGGGGGGGGGGGGGCAGCAGTTGTTTACAAGGGGGGTTCCTGACCTTATGGTGACCAGGGAGTAGCCTAGAGAGCCGCACACCCTTCACCCAGCTGCATCGTTGCCAGCCTTTTAACTATCTTGTTTCCTGTCACCCCAAATCCTGGACATCTTGTCAACCATAAACAGTTTAGGAGACTTCTAACATGCACTGCCTTGAGTCGCATACCATTATCACACCTAACAGCATCTGTAATGCCCCTCTGGCATCATGGACATTTTTACAATGTTTGTTGGAATAAGGATCCAAGCAAAGCCCACCTGTTTCATTTTTCCTCCTGACAGTTTGGCTGAGGACACTAGCTTATGTAAGTGTAGGGCATCCCCAACCTGAGGCAGTCTGACCCTGTGCTTGCTAGACTGAAGGTAGAATTCAACTGAGGTCCAACTTCTACTGGGTCTCATGTCAGGAGGTATGGGTGTCTGGCTGCCCCACATTTAGTGACTTTCAGACCAAGTGTGTCCACCAACACTCCAGCCAATGGCCTTTATGACAACGACAGTTGATGTACATCTGTGATCTCGCCAGGGTTATAAAAAACTTTGAGTGCTTTTTGTCTTGAGGCCTTCTCCCACTAGGGATGGATTTGCAACCGTTTAAGTATCCCTTCTGTTTCTTATTTTAAAACTCCCACCGCCCCCAAAAAAAAACCAAACTCACTGCCATTAAGTCAGACCCGATTCATAGCGACCCCTCCTTGGGTTTCCGTGGAAGTATCACTATGAAAGTAGATTGCCCAATCTTCTTTCTGAGGAGTGGCTGGTGGGTTTGAACCTCCAGCCTTCTGGTTAGGCACTACGCCACCAGAACTTTTTCTTCTTTTAGACTTCACTTTTTTTTTTTAAAGGAACACTGATAGTGCCATAGTTAAACACTAAGCCACTAACTGAAAGGTCAGCAGTTCAAAATCAACAACAACCACTCTATGGGAGAAAGATGCAGCAGTCTGCTTCTGTAAGGATGACAGCCTTGGAAACCTTATGGGGCAGTTTTACTCTGTCCTACAGGGTTGCTATGAGTCAGAATTGATTTGACGGCAATGGGTTTGCTTTTGGATTTTTTTTTTTTTTTTTTGGTGGGGCTCATTTTTTTCTTTTAATTGTGATTTGTGTGAAAGTTTACTTGGGGTTGCTTTTCAAAGATATGTTTCTGAGAACCAACACATTATTTTAAAAGTACATTTAGAGGAACTTAGCTTTCTGTAAGCCTCTCACATAAGAAGGTACTGTCGTCACTGCTGTGGTGCCTCTCAGGGGCTTCACCTGCTTTCCTTCAGAGGGTGAGGAGAGAGGCTCTGGCCTTCTGTTCTGTGACAAATCACGTGCTTCAACATCATACAAAGGTGTCATCCATCTCCCTCCCCTCGAAGAACTGACAAAAGGCCCCTTCACCGTCTGCTATTTTCCACCTTTATAATCAGTCCAGAATCTTTCACGATGCAGTAGGAGGTCAGAGTTCACATGGGTTTTATTCGCAATTACTGAACAGTCACTGCAACACTCCTGCCTAGCCTCTGCATGGCTTGTGGTGGTGCCATTACAGTCTATCAGCACTCACGCTATGACAGGGAACTAGTTGTTTACTCTCTCAGGCCCTTTTTAGCCTGCTAATTACTGTTAAGTAACATTACTTTATTTCCATATTATATGCCTCCACCCTTAAATGTCTTTGTCCTTCTTAACCTCCTCTTAGCACTGAAGTCCAGCTGCAGCTGCCTGGATTGCTTTGGCAGATCCAGAAATACTTAGATCACCATCTTGTCAGAAAGTAGTCCATCATAAATTTTTTGTCTCATTTTCATGGCCTTACATAACCTCTTATGCAGACTGATCCTCTAGCTGAAAACAACTAAAAATCCGGGATAAAATAGGAAAACATACATCTCCTTAAAGCATTGAAAAGTTTTCAGGATGAAGAAGTGCCAGGCTAAAGTCTAAGGAAAAGTGGGGCCCAGAGAGGAGACTGGACACCAAGATGCTGCTGCTCTAAGGTACATCCAACCTGGGCTCTGGTGGGGAGGCATGTAAAGCTCAGGGAGCAGGAACCAGAGCCAGGCTCAACCCAAGGTAGGACAGCAAATGGAAGCCCTCCCCATGCTTACATGGGCTGCCCCAGGGGAATGAATGACTCAGAAGCACCCTATGTTCTTCCCTCCTGGGGCAGTGAAAAGACTCGCTAGAGCCAGGCAGTGTGGAGTGGAGGCACCACCTCCGGGAGGCTGCTGCCACACGTGTGCCCTTCAAAACCATCTCTGTGTGCATAAAAACAAGACTGTCCGTCTCTCACACAAAAATGCTACTATGCTGCTTGCCAGAGTTGCCATGGTTAACAAAAGTTATCACACATCCCTTCCTTATGAGCCAAAGTAAAGCTTATGCAAATAATTAGTATATCCTCTCTACCTGGATTCATGCCTTGGGACAGGTGGGAAAGGTTAATTCAGAAACTTAAGAAGAAAGACATTTGGCTTTCTAAGGCAAACCTGAGTGTCAGATGGGATTTGTTTTGACAGGAAGTCTAGCAAGAACCAACAGTCACAAAAGACTCCTTTTCCCCACCCCCAAAAAACAAACCCACCAAAGACTTCTGAGATTATGAGACACAGATTAGAAAACTACATTATACTTAAAATATTTAAAAACCTTGAAATATCCAAAGAGCTAGAAAAAGTCATCTAACAGATTTGAAGAACCACCAAGTAGAAATTCTACAAATAAAAACGTTGTTGTTGTTAGGTGCCTTTAAGTCAGCTACAAAACACTGCCTGGTTGTGCACCATGCTCACAATCCTTGTTGTAACACTTGAGCCCATCATTGCAGCCACTGTGTTAATCCACCTTGTTGAAGGCCTTCTCCTTTTTTGCTGACCCTCCACTTTACCAAGCATGATATCCTTCTCCAGGGAATGGTCCTTTCTGACAACATAACCAAAGTAGGTGAGACAAAGTCTGGCCATTCTCACTTCCAAGGAGCATTCCAGCTGCCCTTCATCCAGGACAGATTTGTTCATTCTTCTGGCAGTCCATGGTATTTTCAGTATAAGCAGGGCGACTGAAATTAAAACTCAAGCGAAGGAAAGATACACAAATGGCGAACAGATACATGAAAAGATGCTCAACATCATCAGCCACTAGGGAGATGAAATCAAAGCCACTTCACTCCCATTGAGATGTTAAGCTTTAAAAAATGAAAATGAAAACAACAAATGTTGGTGAGGATGCAGAGCAACTGGAAACTTGGAACCCTTATCCATTGCTGTTGGCAATGTAAAATGAGATAGCCACTGTGGAAGCCAGTTTGGCAGTCCCTCAAACAGAAATAGAATAACCATAAGACCCAGCAAATTCACTAGTGGGTCTATACTCAAGAGACTTGAAAGCAGCAATGTGAACAGCCACACGTACACCAATGTTCACTGCAGCACTAGTTCCAATAGCCAAAAAGGTGGGAACAGCTTAAATGGCTACCAACAGATGAATGGATAAACAAAATGTGGTATATGCACACAATGGAATAGTACTCAGCTATAAAGAGAAATGAACTTCTGATACATGCCACAACATGAGTAAACTTAAAAACATGCTGAAAGAATGAGTCAATCACAAAAGACAAGTGTTGTATGATCTCACTTACATGAAACAACTGTAACAGGCAAAAGCAAAGAGACCAAAGTGTCATTAGAGTGTCATTACTAAGAGCAGAAGCAATCAGTATCTGAAGAAGACTCTGAACCAGTATCTGAAGCTGAGGACTTCCTGGGAATGATGAAACGTACCAATACGGATTTGGGAAGCCCTACAAAGCTTAAGAAGAATAAATCAAAGAAAAGCCACATGTAGACACATCATAGTGAAACCCAAAGACAAAGGGGAAACAAAGTTAAATATGCAACAAACAAAGACAGATTGCTTTCAAGAGAGTTCTAGTTAGAAGACAGCTGAATTTTCAGTATCGACAATGGAAGCCATAAGGCAATGGAACAGTATCTTAAATGTGCTGACAGGTAACTCCCAGCTGTGTATTCCATACCTACTAAAACTACCTTTCAAGAATAAGATGGAAATGAACACTTAACCCAAACAATGTGCCACCAGCAAGATCTCACTGAAAAGAATTTTAAAGGATATTCTTTAGCTAGAAGGAAAGTGGTTAACAGATGGAAGGCAAGATGCAAGAAAGAATGAAAACCAAAGGAAGCAATGAAAGTGGTTGTGTCTAAATCCACAATGATGAATAAAACACAAAAATAAGGTCTTCAGAACGAGATGGTGCCCGGCTACCACTGTCAATCACTCGGAGGGGGATCTATGAAGGAGACCCTGGATAGAGGAGAACAACGTGGAGCACAACTCAAAATCATTTCAAAAAAATAAAGGGAGGGGAGGTTTGCTGGTCTGATAGAACCCCTAAGACTACGGCTCCTAGCTGCCCTTCAGGTCTGGAATTGAACCCACTCCTGTGGCTTCCAGCCAAACAAAAGACAGGCATATGAGCTGAATATTTACATTAGGCAGATACCCTCCTTGGAGAGAACAATCATGGGAGAAAGAAGGGCTATGTATGCACAGGGAGACAGCTCAGGGGGCAGGAGTGCATGGAGGGATGGACACAGGGAAGAGGTAACTATGGGGAGGAAGTGGGAGCGGAGCTGTTGCACTGTGGGAGATTGCAGTCAATGCCATGAGACAAAGTGTAATATGAACTGCTGTACATAAAATGAATTAGCTCTATAAACTAACCCAAATCACAATAAAAAAATTTTTAAAATAAGGTCTTGTGGCGTTAATAAATATCTTAAGTACAGAATAATAAGTCAAAAACAGAATAAATGGAATTAAGGTGTTCAAGATTCACTTCTAATTCAGGAGGAGGAGAAAGGGACCCATTGATTGGACTTTTGTTAAATGTGTATCTTGTCTGAGTTCCTTATACTCTTTCTTTTCCTTTTATATACTTGAACATTTCCATAATAAAAAATATTTTTTAAAATGAAGTATTTTAAATGTGAAAACAAAATTATAAATGTCATAAATTTAAGTTTTCTATTTCAAAAGAATAGAAGCTCTGGTGGTATAGTGGTTAAGGCATTCAGCGGATAACCAAAAGGTCAGTAATTTGAACCCACCACCCACTCCATGGGAGAAAGATGAGGCAGTCTGCTTCTATAAAGCATTAAGCCTTGGAGACCCAATGGGAGTTGCTGAGTTGGAACTGACTGGATGGCAGTGAGTTTGTTTTTCTCGGTTTATTCCAAAAGAATAGAAACAAGCGTATATAACCTCCAAACAAGTGTAGTGAAAAAACATCGAATTATAGGAAGACATAGAAAGCACAAAGTAAGATGGCAGATTTAATCCAAACACAGGTACACTTGCTTAACATCTGTTTGGGCAATGCTCGACTGCATGTACATCTGTAGTCCCATACGGTTTTGTTCTGTTTTTAATGAGGGCAAGTAAGCTCTCCTTTTGTTTTCCCCTAATGGTTTTAAAGACCCCAAACCCAGATTCTTGCAGCACTGGACCATGGATGGGATATAGGCAGGTGAGGGAAAGGACAGGGATCTGAGCACAGCTCTCAAGCCTTGTATGGTGGGTAGGCAGCAGCAGCAGTAGCAAGGGATTGTGGGGCTGCTCCTGATACTCAGGTGGGACAGAGAGCAGGGCTTGGTGCACTGGGCTCCCTCCTGGCTCACTTCCTCTCCCTCCACTTCCAACCTCACCCTCTCAGCCACTGCTCTGTCTATTTCTCCAGCTTCTGCCAGCAACTCTAGCAGCAGTAGCAAGCAGCAGCAGTGGTGGCAGTGACAAGGATGACCAGAGGCAGGCTTCCATAAGGTGTTCACACAACATTCAAATCACATAATGTCCTGTTCACAGAACGGGCATTAAGCAACACATACCTTCATCAACTACTTAATGTACACAGATGAAATCTTCCAATTAAAGACAAAAATCATCAGACTGAGTTAAAAACTAAAAACTCTATGCTCTAGAAAGAACACATTGAAATAATGAAAGTAAAAGCATTACAAAGCTATGCAGGCAAAGAAAGCTGATACATCTAACTACAATGACTGGAAGGCAAAAATAATTTCTAGAGGTAGAGGAGGATGAAACAATTCTATATTTTTATGCTAATTAAATAATCATAAAGCAAATTATTGACAGAAATACAAGTAGAATAAATTACTCCATAAAAAGAATGAAGAATGAGGAATCTGTGGTAGTTAAGGTGATATGTCAATTTGGCTGGGCCTGTTCTGAGTGGCTGGGCCTGTTCTGAGTGGCCGGGCAGCAGGATGTAGTTATTCCCTGTGATGAGATCTGTAATCAACTCCATGGCAGTATCTACTGGAGGAGGTGAGTAGCTGCCCTAGTGCCTGCTTCCAGTGTAAGGAGAAGCCTTGAGAAAGTTCTTGGAGCTTCTGGCCCATGTGAATCCTGCATGTAGCCGAGCCATCATTCAGCAGCCTGCTATGTTTCCTGCCAATCATGGTACTGTCTCTGGACTTGAACTAGTGGCCTGTTGTTTGTTAATCCTGGAATTGTGCCATTTTATTTGTCGACCTTGGGTTTCTCAGCCTCAGCAGCCAGCAGCTGCTTTAAGAAAAGCCTCCCGCTTCAGCAGGCTGGAAGCAAGAGGCAGAGCTGAAGCCCAAGGTTGAGGGGCTTTTCCCCAGCCCCTAGAGCTGGTACTTTGAACTTGGTTTTCTAGCCTCCTAAACCATAAGGGAATAAACTCCTGTTTGTTAAGGCCAACCACTTGTGGCACAAAGTTACCAAAACAGAATCCAAATGCTAGGATAGGAGTAGGGTTGTATGAAAATTCTGTAAAGTAAAATTTGTTAGCACTGAGGCTCAGTGGGGGTTGCTTATAAGAAGCACTGCATTCATCTTCAACAGGCAGCAGAGAGGTTAACACACTTTGCTGTGGAAGAGATTGGAGGAAACAGCAAACAAAGGCAGAAAAACAAAGGCAGAGGGTCTTCCCCTCAAAGGGGAAGAATGCACAGAAAGAGAGAACATGGTAGAGTGAGCAGGAAGAGGTGAGACTAGGGCTGGAGTCATCAGTCCCCATGTGGGCTGCAGCCCCAGCTAGAGGAGGCTCCAGCTCTACTCTTTCCCTACTCAGCTTCCCTCAGGCTCCTCCCTGGAGCCTCCTATGAACTTCTCCAAGGCTCAAGAAGAATCTAGTCTGGTAGGAGGGGTGAAGTTCTTTGCAAGACAGTCATACCATGTAAAAAGAACTTGAACCTGGGCCAGGCTAACACTTCAGTTTTAGGTTTATTTGTTAAAATTTTCTCACTCTATCTTATCTTGGGAGTTGTGGTAGCATAGAGCTTAAGGCATGTGACTGCTAACCAGAAGACTGTGGTTCAAATCCACCAGCCACTCCTCGGAAGGAAGACTGGGCAATCAACTTCCATAGTGATACTGCCTCGGAAACCCAAGGAGGGGTCGCTATGAGTCGGGTCCGACTCAACGGCATATAACAACAACAACAACAAACTTTATCTTACTTGAAGAAATATTCACAGGTGTGCACAGGGGTGTAAAAATGGGTATCATGGGTATCATGGCTGCATTACTTTTTAATAGTAAAAACTAGAAACATCTTAAATGCACACAGCAGGCAAATGACTGTATGTAATACTTTACAGTTCACTGCAGTGCAGTGAATTAATTATTATGGCCTTTCTAGACCTTTTTTGATGTACTGCAAATCCTGGCCCTGGTGGTGTAGTGGGGAAAGCATTTGGCTGCTAACCAGAAAGTCATCAGTTCAAACCCCACAGCTACTCTGAAGGAGGAAGATGAAGCAAGCTACTTCCATAAAGATTTACAGCGTTGGAAGCCCAAAGGGGGTTGCTATGAGTTGGAACTGACTGGATGGCAGTGGGTTTGGTTTTTGGTTATGCCTGTGATTTTGCTCTCATTTTGTGGTGAGTTGTATGCTACACTAATGGGGCAGGATTAGGGTGGGATGTATCTGGAGTCCCACCTTACCAGATGGTGTGACTCAAGTCTCCACCCTTAGTTTCCTTGAGGGTGTATGTGTGAATGCGCTGGCAAAGCTCTCTCTCTCACTCTGGATCCTGCATGTGGCTTGTCGTCATCTTACCTCTGGTGCTTGGGGCTTGAGGCAGCAACCACTACAACCTAGTGAGTAAGGAGAATCCTCCAGGCTGATGCCTGACCCATGGATTTGGGACTTGCCAGCCTCTACAATTACATGAGTCATTTCCTTGGCAGTTCATTAGTCCTGTGAAATGTTACAGCAAAATGCAGTATCCTAAGATAGGAGGTGTTAGTGAGAAATGTTGAAAATACCATGGACTGCCAGATGAATGAACAAACCTGCCTTGGAAGAGGTATAGCTACAATGATCCTTAGAGGCAAGAATGGCCTGACTTCACCTCACAGACTTTGGTCATGTTGTAAGAACGGACAAGCCCTTGGTCCCTTTGCTTGGTAAAGTGGTCAGAGAAAAAGAGGAAGACCTTCAACGAGATGCATTGACATGGTGGCTGTAATAATGGACTCAAGCATGGTCATAATTGTCAGGATGGCACAGAACTGGGCAGCATTTTGTCCTGTTGTGCAGAGGGTTACTACGAGTCACAACTGACTTGATGGCACCTAACAACAACAACAACAAAACGGGAGGGACAGTACTAAGGAGAGGAGGTAGAGTTAATGTTAGAGATGATGGAGCCATACAGCTGGAAACTGGAAAACTTGGATATTTGGGACATCTTTAACCTTTACCTCATAGGGGCCAGCCTTCTAGAAGTAATCATTTGAGCATTCACTAGGAAAATGGGACAGGTATTAATACAAGATGTCCATGAAATGGTGCTCAGTATCAAAGAAAATGGTGGGACATAAGCTGAACGTGATCCTATTGCTGCAAAGGCCTTTCTTCACTGTGGGTGGGTGTGAATATGGATCCGTGCACATGTATTTACAGACAGGCCCAGAACATTACACCTCACACAGCTGACAGAGAGCTGTGGAGCCCGTTGGGGGCATATTCGTTTCCTGACATATTTTTGTATTGCTTCAACTTTTACAAGCATGTATTACTGTGTGGTTGATGACAACACAGGTTGTGTGTCAACCTGGGTAGGCCTGGTTGAGTGGCTGGGCAGCTGGATGTAGTATTCCCCATGATGAGACTGGTCATCAACTCCATGGTGGAATCTACTATGAGCAGCTGAGTAGCTGCCTTTTGGGTATATGGTCTGCTTCCTGTGTGTAAAAAACAGCATTGGGAATTGTCTCTAGCTTATGGCATGCTTGAACCCTACATGTGGCCATGTTGTTGTTTAGCAGCCTGCCATGCTCTGTCGACCTTGGGACTTTCAATGGACTTGAATTAATGGCCTGCCGTGTGGCTTGGTAACATTGGGACTGTGCCATTTTATTTGTCGACCTTGGGCTTGTTAGCCTCAGCAACCAGTAGCTCCCTGAGTGAAGAGATGCCTCTAGCCTTAGTGGGCTGGGAGCAAGAGGCAGAGCTGAAGCCCAAGGTCGAGGGGCTTTCACCCAGCCCCTAGAGCCTGGCACTTTGAACTTGGACTTAAAGCCTCCCAACTGTAAGAGAATAAACTCCTGTTTGTTAAGGCCATTCCATTTGTGGTATATCCCTGCCAGAGCGGCACCAGGGAACCAAAACAATTACATTTCTAATTTAAAGGAAGGTACTTCCACATGCTCATGATGGGCATTCCCATAGCACCCTGTGCTGCACACTCACCCAGAAGTCCTCCCCACGGCAGGGTTGTAGACAGACGGTGCAGGTGGCAGACGCAAAGGTGCCATGAGCTTCAACCAGCTTTGAGGCAGGGATGCCGGATACTGCAACGTAAACCTCAGGTGAGCACTGCGAACACCCATAAGAGAGACAGCCCACTGAGCCCCAGCCCTGCCTGTGCCACCTGCAGGTGACGTTCACAAGCAGACAAGGCACAGGGCAAGAGAGGCACCCAGTAGAACCAGGTCAGCCAAAACAAAGGACAAACATTCAGATAAAATTATACCCAATACCTAGGAACACATTTTCCATTCTAAAGACACTAAGTAAAAACGTATGAATAATATAAATGCGATAAACTTCACAAAAATTGCTAGGTGAAAAACAGGCAAAAAGTGACTAGTTAAGACAGTGATCTGTCATTACTGTCTGCTTCTGAGAAGCTCCAGGTGGCCCCCATGACACCCAGAGTATCCTGACTGCTGAGCCAAGACCCACAGCCTACCTGGCTGTACTTGAGTGGAGAGCCACTCCAGGCGTGGGTGTCACCCAGGTTCTGGGGTCCACACTACAAACTCCTCTAGGAAGGAAGCAGCTCCTGGACTCCAGGTGACAGCACTTTAAAGGACAACCCATCTGGAGAGCTGGTCACCAGTTCAGGAAGAGGCAGCAGCCTCCACTCTCTGGCCAATGGCATGGCTCACAGCATGGCCACTGGATGGGAAGGGAACACCCTACCCTGTACCTCAAGGACACTGAGGAGTTACTCATGTTTTTGGTGTGGTAACAACGTCATGGCAACATCTTAAAAAGTCTTCACCTTTTACAGGTACTTCCTAGTGTATCTGTGGATCACATACATGCGTGGGATTTTTCTCACAGTAATCTAGGGGTGGGGGCAGGGGTGATAACAATTCTCTCTCTGCATGCTTGAAAAATCCTATAACAAACAGTGTCAAGTCCTCACATCAGACTAGCAAAGCCACACGCTCCCCACGTCCCCTGTAGCTCAGCCTCCAACAAGACTCCCGGCACGTCGGAGAAGGGCCCTGAGCAGAGGCCCCTGGCTGCGATGGGGAGAAGGTATGCTCACCTCGCTCGAGCCCATCAATGTTCTGTGTGTAGAGCCGCAGCAGCTGCCCCTTGTCGTGCAGGAGCCGGAGGAAGTAGTGGGTCACATTGGGCCTGAAGCTCCCTGGGTACAGCTCCTTGGCCAAGGTGAAAAAGGGCTTGGGGTTCCGAAAGAAGAACTCGAGTTCAAAAATGGCTTCGGGGTACGGGATGTCGTACTGCTGGAGATTGCTGTAGAGACCGCTTCCAGGAGACCTGCAATACCGAGCACTCCTGAGGAGGAGGCGCAAGGATGAGGGAGTACGGTGCTGACGATGGGGGCATGGAGGGTGGGAGGGACCGAGACGGTGGGGGTGGTGTGGGGGGCCTGAGGAAGGCGGGCGGGGGCAAGCAGGGCAAAGATGGTGAGGGGTGTGAGCCAAGGATGATGGGGTGGCACGGCACCTGAAGTCAGGAATGCCACTTGGTGTGCTGATGCCGGCCCCCACCATGACCACCACCCTCTTGCAGGCTCTGGTCCGGATTAGCTCAGCTATGTCCTGCAGGGACAGCTGTTCCCTGGTACTGCCACCTGCCTTTCCAGAGCCTCTTGAGGCACAAGCAGAGAGGGACAAGGACCTTCTCTCACCTGCAATACCAACGGGAAAAGCAAAAGTGGAAAACCTGGCAGAGGGATAATGACCATCTCATAGCAACAAGGACAAGCAAGACCCAGATTCCCATCACCCCACCCCCAGGGTGGCCACCAACTCCCTCCAGCCACAACGCACCACATTCCTCAGCAGGGTGATTGTGGGGCTAAAAAAGAACATCATCCCAAAGCGGGGTCAAGGTCACAGGGACCACGCTAATGAGGCAGACACCCGTGATGCTGTACAGAAGGCCAGTGCTCAGAGACAGGCCGTGTGGCACAGGCCACATGCACACACCTAGGCTGTGACAAAGGTGCAGTTATACGCAAGTAAAACACAGTATCCCAGCCTTCGGATCCACAGACCATTCCAGAAGAGATAGTCACATGCCAAGAGGCAGGGTTCAAACTGCTACTGGAGTGCCCAGAGCAGAGGAATGTACGATCAGCAATCCTAGCATCAAAGAAGTGTCAGAAGTGACACCTGTCAGGAGTGAAAGAAAAGTCGTTTTATTGAGGAATAATATAGCTTGAGCTGGGAGTAAAAATACAAAGCAGCCCACCTTTCAAGTGGAATGAGGGATCCATGTACATAAAAAACAGAGGAGAGGAGGAAAGGTAAGGGTTAGTGACTGGAGGTTAGATCAACTTCACGCCCTTTAACATGTAACTCACTAGGAGGGGTGAGTTATCACCTAGGTGAGTGGTGCCAACTGCCTGGGTCAGACACGATTACAGTCATGAACACATACTTTTTCGGGAATGAATTCTTTCCACCTTGACATGCTCTTCCCAAATGGCTTATACCCTGACCTTTTGCTCTCTGGGAACACATGTTGGCACCAGTATTCTTAGGTCTGACACAAGTGCCTCCAATTTGAACCTTTTCTGTCTACACTAGCCTGCTAACAGCACCAACTCCACAAACTAGTCCAGGGAGCCTAACAGCACCCACCTCATACCAAATTGGGTGCTGGGTCACACATCCCACAAGCCATCTGGAAATATCAGCCTCCCTTCCTGACGAGTTCAGACCCCATTGCCCAGGAAGCTCTTCAATTTCATCCACAGTCACCTGGGGCTAAATCAGTGGGTACCAACCTCAAGCAGGACTCCCTGAACTTCAGATAAGATGGCTTTAGGCCTGCTAATCCACTGGAAGTCATTAAAAAAAAAAAAAAAAACCTCACTGCCGTAGTCGGATCTGAGTCATAGTGACCCTCCTCCTTGGGTTTCCAAGGCAGTATCACTATGGAAATAGATTGCCCAACCTTCCTTCCAGGAGTGGCTGGTAGGTTTGAACTGCCAGCCCTCTGGTTAGCTCACAGAGCTCATAGCTACAATTGTTGTTGTTGTTGTTATGTGCCGTCGAATTGGACCTGACTCATAGTGACCCCTCCTTGGGTTCCCGAGGCAGTATCACTACGGAAGTAGACTGCCCCATCTTCCTTCCGAGGAGTGGCTGGTGGGTTTGAACCGCCAGCCTTCTGGTTAGCAGTCAAGTGCCTTAGAGACTAAGCTACCAGAGTTCCTATACAACTTTAATATAAGAAAGAATATAAATGGAAAAAACGCACAAAGCAAGGTTTGGGAGAGGTCCCCTCCCAGCATGGAGCCTCAGTGTTTCAAAGGAACACACTTACTCTCCTAAGAACAGATGATCACTCTCACCAATCAGGAAATTCTTCATCCAGGAAATACACTATAACATATCATAGCTGGCTCACATACCTTCTCAACCAGGACCTTGGACAGCTCTCTGCCACCTCCAGACTCTCAGCTCCTCAAGGGGGTAGCAGCCCCTCATGGGGGTAGCAGCCTCCATGGTGTAGCACCTTCTCATGGTGTGGCAGCCCCTCATGAGTGTAGCAGCTCCTAGTGGGGTAGCAGCCCTCCCTGAAAGTGACCTTCCCACCTAGAGGCAAAGCCAACAGGAGCCAGACTAAGGCACCCCAAAATAGGCTCCAACAATTCAGTCCCCAAGTATCTGCCACATTCCAGCACCTTAAGTTTTCTGTGGCATCACTGGGTCCTACAAGAAACACCTAGGCCCAGAAATGAGGTCTGAAGAGGTGGCCACAAGCCCAGAAACTGAGATCCTCCTCCATGCCACCTGCCTGCAGAGACCCTCCCCATGCTTCTGGCTACACAGAGACCCTCCCTATTGTCACCTGACTGCACCAAGACCCTCCCCCAGGCCATTCCTGACTGCACCAAGACCCTCCCCATGCTGTCTGACTACACAGAGACCCTCCCTATTGTCACCTAACTGCACCAAGACCTTCCCCATACCACCTAACTGGACAGGGACCCTCCCCCAGGCCATTCCTGACTGCACCAAGACCCTCCCCATGACATCTGACTCGAGTGCCTCCCATTACTTCTCATCACAGGATCCCCAGGCCGCACAGGCCGATGAGCACCAGAGAAAGCAGCCTCTAGGGGTTCATGCTGAGCAGCAATGGGGGAGAAGCCTAGTGATGAGAAGTGGGGACTGTGATGACAAGTGGGGGCTATGAACTGAGGGGGGCTGTGATGAGAAGTGGGGGCTGTGAAATGAGGGGGGCTGTGATGAGAAGTGGGGGCTGTGAAGAGAAGTGAGGGGGGCTGTGAGGAGAAGTGGGGGACTGTTAAATGAGGGAGCTATGATAAGTGGGGGCTGTGATGACAAGTAGAATTTGTGAAGAGAAGTGAGGGGGGCTGTGATGAAGAGTGGGAGCTGTGAAGTGGGGGGAGCAGTGATGACAAGTTGGGGCTGTGAAGAGAATGGAAGGGCTGTGATCAGCAGTAATGGGGGGCCTGGTAGGCAAGCACCAGAATGGGTAAAGCCCAACGCCCACCTCAGCTCTGTCAAGGGACTCAGTACTAAGGCTAAAAGCAAGGAAGCTGGAGATGGTTCTTGTCACCTGGCTGGAAGAACCTGGAGCTGTAATCTCACAGCAAAAGAGCAGAAAACACAGTAGGGAATAAAAGCCACCTCCCCCACCGCGTCCCCCCATTGCCTCAATGTTCCTGAACAGATCCTGAGGAAGGTCCCTCCATGAACGGTTTGTATAAAACCACCAAGCCAAGCATCTTGGGTGCAAGAGGGACAGCATGACGCCAACTACATCCCTCCTTCCACTTCACACACCAAAAATACCCAGCAACATTTACTGAGTGAGCACCTCCAAGGGCAAGTTGCTGAGAGGACACAAAAGGAACAGAAGAGAAGCTACCATCTGAGGCACTTCATGCATATTCCTCATTTACAAGTCACCAATGGCAGACAGACAGGCTTTTTTACCTCTCCACAGAACGTACTTGGGGTCCAGGACTCAAAATACATGCTCTGTGGTCTGAAATTCCTGGGAGTCAGGGACTGGACCCTGGGGTGGGCGTGGGTGCTGACTGGGACACACTGTGGAAAGGGAAACAAGGGGTGATTTTATGTACCAGCCCCAAATTCAAAAGCCAAGGGCATATAGTCAAACAGCTAGAAGCTTGTGCTAGCCCACAACTCCTTAGGGCAACCCTACTCAGACTAAGGGAAGTAGCAGCAAGGATTTCCCCATGTCATGGGGGGGCTGGGGGCCATGTCCCAGTCTTGCCACCACCAGGTCCTTTCTGCACTGAAGCAGCTCCCTGGGACATCTGTCTGTAACCCTGCTCTTCCCCAGTACTAAAACAAGAGTCTGCTCACTGAGCTCAAGAAAGGGTTCTCAACAACAGGGATGAGCCCCTGCCATCTCTCTATTGTAAACTCTTCATCGACATCTTTAGTGACCACAGCAGAGGACATGACGTAACGTGCTTATTTAGTCATCCATTACCAGTCATTTAGGTTTGTTTCCAATTTTTAATCTCTGTCAATAACATTTAGGAGCTCTGGTGGCTTACTGCCTAAAACATCTGACTGCTAACCAGAAGGCTGGTGGTTCAAACTCCTTGGAAGGAAGGTGGGCAATCTACTTCCGTAGAGATGCCGCCTCGGAAACCCAGGGAGGGGTTGCTGAGTCCGGCCCAACTCCATGGCAGTAACTATAGTTATAAATAACATCAACAACTTTGGTCCTGACGGGTTTTCCACATGTAGGACCGTCCGTTCCTAAAGGATTCCAAGTGCAGTTGCTGTACGGTATGGCCAGAGGGTCATGGGAGACTAAGTGCACAACGCCTGGGCAGCCCCAAGGGCACAGTGAACATCTATATAGTTTAAACCCAGCAGGTCCTCTGCTAGGAGTTTATCCAAAAAAGTGACGCCCGAACAAGGTTATTCCCCACAGCATTATCTGTAATAAATGAAGACTGAAAACCACCTCAAAACACACATCATGGAATCCTACATATCAGCATAAAATCACTCAGAAAGCACTGAGGCATCGGAACGGAAATAACTCAAGATACACTGCAGTAAGAAAACCGGCGAGGTACAGACGTAATCTACCCCAAAAAGGGTCAAGGTGACACGTCACAACTGCTCGAACAAGCCTAAAATCTCTGGAAAGAAGACACGAAGGGGAAGCCGCCTCGTCAGAATGAGCACGCAGGCGACTGCCCCACGAGGGTCCGGTCCACGGTCGTGTCCTATTGGACGCCCTCCATACCCGCCATCATTCCCGCGGGAGGAACGCGCGCGCCCGCGACGACCGCCAGTCCCCTGCTCGCGGGCTGCTTCGGGACGAATCGGGGTTGGCGGCCACAGGCTCGCTCACCTCCCACGCCCCACGGCCTGCGGGCGGGGAGAAGCCCCTTTCCCAGCGCCAGGGCAACCAAGCGAACCCACACCACCATCTTCACAGCGGCCCCGGGTGCACTCGAGTCACGTGCCAGTCCGCCTCCCGTCCCGCACGCTCTTCCCCGCCCCTCACGTTCTCGCCTGCCCCCTGCCCAGCAGACTCTTCCCGTCACTCACTCTTCCCCGCCCCTCACGCTCTTCCCTGCCCCTCACATCCGCGCCCGCCACGCCCCCAGCGCGTTCTGGCTCAGCTCCCTGAGTCAGTCCTCTCGTCCAAAGGCCAAAGGCGCGCGGTTACCCTGACGACGCGGCCGGCAGGCGTGCGGCGACAAGGCTCCCGGCCTACCCTGCGCGCCGCGCGCCGGAAGTGAGTGAGCACTTCCGCTGGCTGTCCCCGTGGTGGTGACATCCCGGTTGTAGGCTTGATTCGGCAGCTGTCCTGGGGTCTTCTTGCAGTCATGAAGGACGTACCCGGCTACCTACAGCAGAGCCAGAGTTCCGGACCCGGGCAGGCCGCCGTATGGCACCGTTTGGAAGAGCTCTACACGAAGAAGTGAGCGCTGAACCGAGGAGATCCGTTCCTTGGGGAGAGGAGAGAGACTCTAAGGGGCCCCGAGGAAGCCGGGCCTGGAACGAGGAGACGGGGGTGGGGGGGGTGCTTGCTGGACTGACGACGTCAGACCAGCCGGTCTGTATGAGGGGGGCAGTGGGGACATGCTGAGCCAGGGAGGTGGGTAAGGAATCCCCAGGACTGAGCAGTAGGCCTTCACGGAATTCCCAACTCAGGGCCTGTGACGGAGGCTTCTGCACCCCTCTTCCTCTGGCCTTACTGAAGGGGTTCAGGTCTGGGCGGGGAGTTCACTTATTGATTGCAGTCACGGACGCTGGTGACTGTCTAGAGGGATGAACCGAGGCCAGTGCAGCTCTGTTCTTTTCCTTGTTGATTCTGCGGCTGGTTACAAGCTGAGGTGCCGCCACTCCACTCTTTCCTGTGCTCCTTACATTCCGTGAGCTTTATGTCCTTAGAGAGGTGTCAGTTTGGGTGACACGATGAATTCCAGAAATTGTCTGATGCTAAGCCCCAGCCTGTTTCAAAATGAACAGACTAAGTTACTAGCGTTCGGCTAGAGATTTCCTTAGGAAAGTACACTTCCTGTGTAACCTCCCAGATCACAACCCTGACCGTTCAGCGTAGCGCCTTTTACATAGGTGTTCAATGTGTATTCGGAGGGTATCCAGCAGCCTTCTGCTGTTAGCAATTTTTGAGAGAAAACTACTTTACAAGTGTATAATTCTTAGTGTTTGGTCAGTAATTGCTTGTGTTTGGGTATCACTTTGTATTTTTCAAAGAATTTTAATATAAGTTGGTATTTGCTGCCAATCTTTGGGTGAAATGCACCATGGTACTGTTCTGAACGTTTTTGTGTTAGCTGACTTAAAGCTTCATTCACCCACGTTTATAGATGACAAAACGAGCTCAGTTTAAGCACCTTCACTGAGCTACATAGCTAATCAGAAGTGCTAGGATTTTAACTTAGAGCTATATGATTCCAAAGTTCTTGTTTCTGGTTGAAACACAGTAACTGTTTGAGGTAATCTAAAAGGATGTTCTCCGTTTTACTGGTGAGAAAACTGAGTCTCAAATGAACACGTTAGTGCTAATCAAGATGCCATGACCATGGAGCAGCCACCCTGGAGAGCTAGGGTTCATCCCCGTGTGCCTTAGGGTTCTGTTACACAGGAGAGACGGCTGATATTTGGTACTTGATGTGGCCATGAAGGCTGACAGCATGTGTCACTTAATGCTTGGTTATAGGTCTCAAGGGTCTTAATGTTTTTCAGGTTGTGGCATCAGCTGACGCTTCAGGTGCTTGATTTTGTGCAAGACCCGTGCTTTGCCCAAGGAGATGGCCTCATTAAGGTAAAGTAATTTACCATTTAACCAAAACCCATTGCTGTTAAGTCAATTTTGCCTCATAGTCACCCTGTAAAAGAGCTGCCCGTGTGATTACCAAGGCTGTAGCATAGTGCATAAAACACTTGACTGCTAACCAGAAGGCTGGTGGTTCAAACCCACCAGCTACTCCTCAGAAGGAAGGTGGGGCAATCTACTTCCGTAGTGATACTGCCTTGGAAACCCAAGGAGGGGTCGCTATGAGTCAGATCTGACTCAACGGCACATAACAACAACAACAATCTTTACAGAGGCAGACAGCCACATCTTTCTCCTGAGAAGCACAGGTGAGTTCAAACCATCAAACTTTGGATTTGCAGATGAGCACTTAACCACTGTGGCTTTACCTTGTGCAAAAAAAGGCGTGGGGGCTGTGGTATCTGACTTCCTATAACATCATAAGGAGGAGAGAGGATTGGAACATCAGCAGCCAAGGCTGATCCCTATGAGGCAGAGGTCAGATATGCCACCCCTCCAGCCTTTACGCCACTTCTGACACCAGCTATCCTTCCTGCTACACTCCTCATAAACATGTCAGGATACAGTTCTTCAGTCAAGACAGCTTCTTCACAGGTATGCCAAAGGCCTGCTCCTCTCTGGCTTTGGCCTCTGCCCTGTTCGGCAAATGTTACAGAGCTCTGTAAGCTCTATTCATAGTGCCCAGAGAGCCAACCTTCTCTGCCAGCAGGTTTCCTGCCCAAAGGCACTCAGCTTTCTTGCTCCATGGGCTGGGAAGCCCACTGTTCTGTCTTGTGCTGGCCTCTTGGTTCTGCTGCTGCTGTTTTCTCTACCACTGCTTCTTACCATCTCCGTGCAAGGCTCTCTGGTCCAAGGACATAGTCCACTCCTGGCATTTCTTTATTGATGGTAATGAGATCCCCCTTTCTGCCTCATTTTAAGCTCAGTGGGATGGCAAAACTGACCAGTCCCCATGGTAGGGTTCCATACATCTTATTTCCATGGTTCTTCCCCCACAGGGGTGCCATATATCTTATTTACATTATTGACAAGTTATCCAATCTCTTTGGTGGACCTCAAGCACCTTACATTTGCATAGTTCCACCCAGTCATCTGGTGGGAGTCACAAACATCATGGCTAGAAGAGCCATATTAAGGAATTCACTGTACTGTGCCGTGTTAGGTGAGACTCAGAAACTTCAGAGTCACTGATAGGCTTTTGCAGAATAACCAATAAGCTACACCTCTTCCACAATCCTGGTGTGTCACATGGGGAGTAAGTGTGACTCCTGTCCGTATTTAAGATGTAGAGACAAGCTAGAGTGTAAGTAAGGTGCCCTAGGTCACAGCTAGTAGGTGGCCAAGGGATGTAACTGCTGTCACCCCCTTCCTCATCCCCAGATGTGTGCTTGCAGCAGCACTCTGTCCTGGGTAGCTGGGGCAGTGGGGTGTCCTACAGAATACCATGCTGCCTTTGTAATACAGTACTTGTGAAACTGTCAATAGAAGAAAAACATTTCCTTTTCCTGGGATTACTAATTAACTAACTGGCATTTCTTTCCTGGAGTTTTGGGGGAGATTGTTTTGTCTTTTAATTGGATAGAAAAACCATCTAGTTCCAGGTATTTTGCTTCTATCTCTGTTTGGAATCAAACTTGGACTTCAGCAGTAACTTCAATATTCTTCATGCTCTTAGCTCTCTAGTGCTGCTATGACAGAAATACCACAAGTGGGTGGTTTTTTTTTATATATGATTTTTTTTTTTTTTTAATTATGATTTGGGTGAAAGTTTACAGAGAAAATTCATTTTCCATATAGCAGTTCATACACATTTTGTTTCATGACATTGACTGCAATCCCCATAATGTAACAGCTCCCTTCCCACTCCCTCCCTGTGGTTACCTTTTCCCTGTGTCCTTTCCTATGTATTCCTGCCCTCTGAGTTATTTCCCTGTGCAAATACTGCCTTTCTGATCTCCCGTGATTGATTGTTTTAGGGTGTATACCGACCTGGTGTAAATGTTCACCTTATATCCCTATCTGTCGCTTGCCTAGAAGCCACAAGAGTGAGTGCAATTCCAGGCCTGAAGGGTGACTGGGGACCATAATTTTGGGAGTTTCATCAGTCGCTATCATCCCAGTAAGCCTAGTCTTTTTATGATTTTGCGTTTTGTTCCAAATTTTCTCCCACTCTATCCAGGGTCTTCTGCACTGATCCCTTTCAAAGTGGTTGACAGTGGTGCCAGGCACCATCTAGTTCTTCAGGTCTCATGGTCATATAGGCTGAGGTTTGCATGGTCCACTGGTCCCCTGGACTAATTGTTTCCATGCATCGTTGCTTTTCTTAATTCTTCTTTGCTGGTGTAAAGAGAAGAGACCAGTTGTTGCATCTAAATGGCTGCTTGTAACCTATTAAGACCTGGTCACTCCTCACCAAAGTAAGGTGTAAAACATTGTTTTTGGGTAGTATATTATACCAGTTGGGCTTGATGTTTCCTGTGACCATGATCCTAAGCCCATTGATCCAGCAACTCACTTACTCAGGGTGGCTGGCTATGGCTAAGAAGGTACCATAACTTTGCTCCCTGTTCTATTTACATAGACATTCTTACAGCACATACAAATACATATGTAGAAATATCATCTGCCAAACTTTCATATGGTCATGGGTATGTTCCTTTTGCCTAGACAGGCCTGACATTCAGTTTGTCTACTTATGTATCTACCTATAGATTAATGTTTGTTATTACTGATAATGCAGTATTGTGCATGTGAGAGTGTTTTATCTTTATTGTCTGCACCTCTTGCGCACCTCTCTGTTACCATGTTGGTCACTTTTAGTGTATTGCCTTTCCCTTCACCCGCAGTAATGCTTGTCTCTTACTGGCTTGCAGTTTTCCCTGCCCTCCCCTCTCCTCCCTGGTAACTGAGGAAGAAAGTTTCCTTCCCCTTTCCTTGACTGTTTACAACAGTGAACTAATACTGTATTTGTCCTTCTGTGATTGACTTATCTCACTCAGAATTATGTCCTCCGAGTTTATCCACATATGCAGTGTTTTGCAGATTCTACATTATTCTTCAGTGTTACATAGTATTCCGTTGTGGGTATATACCACAGTTTGCTTATCCGTTCCTCCATTGATGGGCATTTAGGTTGTTTCCATGTCTTTGCTATTGTAAATAGTTCTATGATGAACGTGGGTGTGCATGCATCAATTTGTGTCCTGTCACTTCTTTATAATATAAACCTAGTAGTGGGATTGCGGGAGCAAATGGTATTTGTATTTCCAACTTTTTAAGGAATCGCCATACTGATTTCCACAGTCGTTGTATCATTTTATAGTCTCACCAGCAGTGTATGAGAGTCCTAATCTCTCCATATCTTTGCCAAACAAACAAAAACAAAAGCCAAACTCACTGCCATCAAGTTGGACCCGACTCACAGCTACCCCTTCTTGGGCTTCTGAGGTTGTCTCTTCGGAAGTAGATTACCCACTCTTCCTTCCGAGAAGTGGCTGGTAGATTTGAACCGCCAGCCTTCTGATTAGCAGTCAAATGCCTTAGGCACTAAGGATGAACATCTTTGTCAGCATTTGTTATTTTCTGTCTCATTGAACTTTGCTGTTAGTGCAGGAGTGAACTAGTATCTCGTTAATATTTTGATTTGCATCTCTAATGGTTAATGATCACAAACATTTCTTCATGTGTTTGTTGGCTGCCTGAATATTTTTTGGTAAGTGTCTGTTTATATCTTCTGTCCTTTCTTTAGTTGGATTGTTTGTCTTTTTGATGTTGAGGTGTTGAAGTTTTCTATAAATTTTAAAGATAAATCCCTTGACAGTAATGTTGTTGGTGAATATTTTTTCCCAATCTGTAGGTTCTCTTTTTTACTCTTTTGGAGAAATCTTTTGATTCACATAAGATTTTAATTTTTAGAAGGTCCCAGTCATCTAGTTTGTCTTCTGCTATTTGTGAAGATTGGGTTATGCTTGATTGTCTATTTATGCCATAAATTGGGACCCCTGAGTTTGCCCCTATTTTCTCTTTGATGAGCTTTATAGTTTTAGGTTTTACATTTAAGTCTTCGATTGATCTGGAGTTAGTTTTTGTGTATGTGCAAGGTATGGATCTTGTTTCATTTTTCTACAAATGGATATCCAGTTTTGCCAGCACCATTTTTAAAAATAGACTGTCTCTTCTCCATTTAATGGATTTCAGACCTTGTCAAAGGTCAGACCATAAGTGGATAGATCTATTTCTGGCTTCTCAATTCTGTTCCACTGGTCTATTTGTCTCTCGTACCAGTATTAGGCTGTTTTGACTACAATGGCTGTACAATAGGTATTCAGATCCAGGAGTGTGAGACCTCCTACTTTGTTCTTCAGTAGTGCTTTGCTTATCCGAAGTCTCTTTACTTTCCATATAAAATTAGTGATTGGTTTTGCCATGTCCTTAAAGAATGTTGATGAAATCTGGACTGGGATGACTGCAGAAATGGCACGGAGGCCACAAGTTCCGACCTCCTCTAACCCTATAAGGGGAAGACAGGATTACCAGCAGTAACCCAAGGCCTATTCCTACAGGGCCAGACATGCTGCCTCCCTCCAGCCCTTTCTCCAACCGTTCCTCCCAAAGCACCCACCACCTCTCTCCTGGGTTCGATAATTCACTGCAATGGCCACACAGAACTCACAGATTATGAGGTTTATTAGGGAAGCACCAGGCTACAATTTGAGTTCAGGAAAAATGCTCAGTCTCTCTCCCCCGCCCGTCTCTCAGCCAACAGTCTCTCTCAGCCACTCTCCCAGCAGTGTGTGTCTCTTTCTCAGCAGTGGGTGTCTTTTAGTGTCTCTTTCACAGCAGCACGTGTCTCTCAGGAGCACGTTTTCTCTCAGCAGCACATCTTTCTCAGCCAGCAGTCAGAGAGACCTCTTCTGCCTCTAGGAGGCCTCCTTTTGAGCCTGGCAGAGTGACCAAACTAACCAATCATAACATCAAAATTCTAAGCACCTGAGAGAGAGCAAACTTCCCAGAACATTGCTTTGTGCCACTCTCAACAGAAATACCCCAGGTGGATAACTTTTACAGTCAGGAGCTCCTCAGTTGCTCACAGCAAATTCCACCACAGAGTTTACAAAGGCTTATGGCTAGAAAAGCTATACCAGGTAATTTACTACACCACACCAGGCCATCCTACCTATGTTCCTGACAGATCCCTCCCACCTGCTCCCTCACTGGCCCCTTACTTCTGGGCAGTGGCTCAAAACTTCTTTCCTTCAGCCAGTTCTCATTAAGCCTTACTCTGTTCTAGGGACCCCAGCATCTTAGGGTTCGGATCCTCTGAATTTCCTCCCATTTCCCAGAATGCAACCAGCCGATTCCGTTTTCTGTGCCTTTTTTTACACAGCAATCTTTGCCCCAGCCTCCCCTAGGCTTTGACAGGCCCCACAAGTTTGTTCACTGCTCTGAGGTCTTTCCTGACACAGCTCTCTATGATTCTTAGTGAATCAGAGATTTGCACCTGCGTTGTCGCTGGTAGCTAGCTAGTGAATAGCATGAGTTAATTCACTCTGAACACCTTGCTTTGTGTGTGCTCATTGCGAAGCTTCCGTGGCACCCTGCTGCCCCACTGCCTGGCCTTTGAGCATTCCTGGGGTTTACACCCATATTCTGATATTTCCCACCCATGCACCTTGCATTCCCCTGCAAGTCCACACATTGTGCTGGCATGCCCTCTCCTGGACTATGTGGGAAGATGATGGATGAGGCCTGTCCTAGCATTCTCTCCCCAGGGTTATACTGATGGAAGGTTCATGGTCGTTTGTCCCCATTTTTGACTTTTTTGTTTTCCAGTCACTTGTCTATACATGGCAGATGATTTCTCAGCCTCACGGTCACATATAGGTCATCAGATGGGACTGTACTTTTTCCATACTCAAAATAAACTTTTAAAAATTATTGGGACCCACCCCACAGAAGTGCAAGATAGGTAGTATTCATGGTGTCACCAGGGGAGGGAGCTCTGGTAGCATAGTGCCTAAGGCACTTGACTGCTAACCAGAAGGCTCCTCGGAAGATGGGGCAGTCTACTTCCGTAGTGATACCGCCTCAGAAACCCAAGGAGGGGTCACTATGAGTCAGGTCTGACTCGACAGCACATAACAACAACAACAGACTTAGTGGAGATCTTTAGATAGTTCTATTAATTAAAATATTTATCTCAGAAAAGTTTAAACATTTCTTAATGAGGAAGATATCTTTGAAATACCCTGTGTTAATGAGGAAGCTGTTGATTTCATGGAGCCAGAGTTAAATATCCAGCTGACCGCACAGGGACATTCCAGTTCTCTATTTCGTACTCAGTGGAGCTTCAGACAGTACCATCCAGAGCTGAACTCACCTGGAGGCTCACTCTCCCTGCGTCACCCACACCAGCTCCTCTCTCTGAGCTTACATCCCAGTAGACAGCACCCCTTCACCCAGTTACCCACCCTCACTCCAGGGTCAATTCTCCACACCCCTTCTTTTCCACTCCACATCTGGTCGGGTTCTGGTTCAGCTTATCAACAAGTGTCTCGCAGACTCTTTGTCCACCCTCACTTCCTTTGCACTTCCACTGCCCTCCCAACTCTCCTGTCTTCGCAGTAGCCTCTCAACTGGTCTCTCTCCGTCAGTTTTTTCCTTGCTTTCCTCTGCACAGTTAGTTCAAGAACAGAAGTGTGGTCCCAAATCTCTTTGCTCAAGCCCCTCACTGCTTCTGCACTGACTGAGGGTAAAGCTCTGACTATTGGCCTGGCCCCAACCCCTCCTTGCCACCCCCAGAGACATCCTTGAAACGTGATCTGTTTCTTTTCTTCAGTGCTTTGGCACACCTGCTGCTGTCTGGAATGTTCTTCTCCCATCTGCTTGCACCTTCACGCCACGTGTGGCCACCTCTCTAACTGCTCTTTGTTGCTTTAAAGCTTCATCAGCACTTCTGGGACACTCTTCCTTGAAACAGCTCTCTGGCTGACCTGCCAGTCAGGGAAGTTTTTCTTGCTCCTAAGCTCATAGTTACCATCTTAAACTCACATGTTATCAGCCCATGGAGAAGTGCATCCTGATTGATAAAGTAGAGGGTCAGCAAAAAAAGGGAAGGCCCTCAATGAGAAAATGAGATGGATTGACACAGTGGCTACAGCAATGGGCTCAAACATAGCAACGCTTGTAAGGATGGCACCGGACCAGGCAGTGTTTCATTCTGTTGTCCATGGGGTTGCTGTGAGTTGGAGCCAACTCAACAGCATCTAACAACACAAGCTCACACTGTTGTCATTTATTTGTTTGCAAATATGTGTTCTCCACCGGACCTGGAGCTCCCTGAAGGCAGGGTTTGATCTTATGCATTCTGTGTCTATAGTATCTAGCAGTCTGAGTAAGTGCCAGGTGTTTGCTGGATTTGGTTACAGGACATACAGAGCCAGCCTACAGCTGGTTCCTGAAAGAATGCCATGATATCAGTTTCACACTGTTGACTTGGAGTAACCTGGGGAAGGACATGAGAGTTTGCTTCAAGGCCAACTTCTCAGGATGCTGGCTTCCTTTACGCAGTGTCACTCTGCTCGCAGGTCTTGGCGAAGACCGTGTGGAGCAGAGCACAGACCGGACACTGTTCTAATGGTGAGGTCAACAGGTGTTTATTTTCACAGAATAAACAGAACAGGGATGAGCAAAGCAACACACATCATCAGCCTAGGTTCCCTGGTTAGGCTCCCTCCACAGGATGATGGCAGATCACACCCAAGTCCCAGTTCACATCTTGGGAGGAAAATGTCTAAATTCCTCTGCCCTGGGAGTAAATACTAATTGGACAGCCATGTTTGCGTGCGAAATAGCACATACAAAGAACAGAAGAAGGGGTGTTGAAAGGGATCATCCAAGTGGAAAGCCCCCTAGAGGCAATGGATATCATCTACTGCCCCTGTTCAGAGGGGCTAGATTTACTGGTGCCTGAGAACAGCCCTTCCTCCTTTACCCACTGAGGGAGCTTGACAGAGCTCTGGGTTTCTTCAGAGGGCCGTGTCTCCCCCTAAGGCACATCCTTTACTCTGTCCATTAGCAACTCCTACGTCCACTAGTAGCTAGGAAGCTGGTGTGACAGAGGTAGCAGACCTATACACCTAGCACTTTAATCACCCACTAGAGGTAACTCATGTGACCAGTGGCATAGTGCCTAAGGCATTTGACTGCTAACCAGACTGCTAACCGTTTGACTGCTAAGGCTGGTGGTTCAGACGCACCAGCCCCTCCTCAGAAGGAAGATTGGGCAATTCACTTCCATTGTGACACTGTCTCAGAAACCCAAAGAGGGGTCACTGTGAGTCGGATCCAACTTGATGGCAGTGAGGGTTTTTTTTTTTTTTTTTTGGTAAATAGACCCTATTGTGGGTCTCCTGTCATTCAGCAAAAACGCTGAAGGCCTTATTGTGTGCTCAGTGTGGTAGTTGTGAACTCATAACCCAGTAGACAGCATTGATGCACTTCAGTTCACTAGCGCTCAGAGTCTTGGCTTTGCAGAATGAAAGACATTCTGTAATTATTCTCCCTGCTTTGATTTCACAGCTTTATGAAAACTTCATCAGTGAATTTGAACACAGGTAAAACCCTTTTGTCCACCTTTGCTTTGCAATGTGTGTGTTACCACTCACTGACTCCGACAGGTGGTTTTTGTTTCAGAGTGAACCCCCTGTCATTGGTGGAGATCCTTCTTCATGTTGTCAGACAGATGACGGGTAAGCCTGGCTTTGCTTCATGATAAGCAGACAGACACATGTAGTCATTAAAATGATCTTGAATGTAAGTTCACTGAATTTTGCACTTTCATAAAAAACATCAGATTCTGAGCTACATTTTTATAATACATCATGATCTAAACTAGATTGCCCTGCCTAAAAGTGTTCTTTTGGTTGGTAGAATCCCATCCAAAAGGTACAGTGTTAGTGGTCCCTCTGACTTTGCTCCTCTTCCTTTTCTAGACCCAAATGTGGCGCTCACTTTTCTGGAGAAGACTCGAGAGAAGGTAATGAGGTCTGGTGATGCTTCTCAGAATGTGTGTGGCAAGAGCTGCCCGGTTCCTGGGCAGTCCTCAGCAGGTCTTCCCTGCAGCCACATGGCAGCGTTGCCGTGTGCTTCTGAGGGCCCTCAAGTTTGTGATCCCCCAGGTGAAAAGCAGTGAGGAAGCAGTGATCCTGTGCAAGACAGCAATTGGGGCGCTAAAGCTGAACATTGGGGACCTGCAGGTTACGAAGGTAAGGTCACCACAGCCAGGCTTGTCACTAATTTAAAAAGCTGTTGAAACCTATAGGAAAGAAAGAATTTTAAATTAGAGAAAAGTTGCAGAAATAGTACATAGTGCTCTCCTATACTCTTCTCCCTGATTCCCCAGCCATTAAGTTTCACCACTTTTCGCGTCATTCTCTATGCACACAAGTTTTGCTTCCCATGTAGCTACAGAGCGTCCGTAGCTTCCTCAACCTCTCACTGGTCAGGGTCCATCTTCTCCCCCAACAGCCCCTGTGTTGCCCCCTCCCCCAACCTCCTGCCTTCTAAACATTGTTGAGGTTTCCTATCCACATGGACCCTTTTCTTGGTTTTATTATGGTGCAGTTTTGGGGACAGGTGGTGGGCATGGGTGGCAGTGAGACCGATTTATAAGCCTGGACCACCTTGTTTAACCAGGAAGTACATGTCGTTGATTTTGTTTCCATTTGTCCTGCTAATCATAGCACTGAAGAAAATCTTGGGTTAAGACTCAAAATTGTTCCTATTCTCGTTGTCCTAAAATCAACTTCCCAGCACTGGTCTGCCTTTGAGAGGCCAGAGCAATCAAAGCACCCGCCTGCCCCCCGCCACCTCCGCAGGTCATGTGTGTCTCATGCCTGGGCACCCAGATGGAGGGTGACAGGCTGACGCACTGAGTGTCGTGTGCGGTGCATGTGGCAGTTGGTTTTCGTGGCTGTGTGGTGCTCTGTTGTGTGATTGTCCCACACCATGTCTTCATTCTTTTCTCCTCCATAGGATGTGGCAGCTATTCACGTTCTTGTGCCCAACACCTGTGTGCACAGCAGTCTCATGGGATATCACTGGGGGTGGGGTACACACCTCCCCCTTTCCTAGGTTCTGCCATGTGTTTCTGCAAAGGGGATTATGACCCATCCCAGGATGTGTGTCCCAAAGTGCCACGTTGTCCACACTTGATACAGTCACAGCTTTTGGTCCCTGCCCAGCCCTTGGTGTAAAATAATACTCACTATGGGTTCCACCCCCATGTCCCTGGTGTCCACGGGTCCCTGGCCATTTGTGTGTCTACTTAAGTTGCATGCTCATATCTTTGGGCCCTTTGGTACTTTGTGGCTTGACTCCTGATAGTGGTAAGAGTTCTCCATACGTCCTGGATCTTAACCCCTTGTGGGTTACATGTGCTATTGAAGTCTTCCCTATCTATGACCTTACTTAGTACATTTTTTATGTTTTGAATGATTTAGGTTTTATTTCAGTGCAGTCAAATCAGTGTGTCTTCATCTTGGTGGTTGTGCTGTTTTCCGTCTTGCTGTGTGTTATGCTAAACGTTAAGTAAAGGGCAGTCTTGCCTCCTGTGTGTAGGAGACAATTGAGGATGTCGAAGAGATGCTCAATAACCTGCCTGGGGTGACGTCTGTCCACAGCCGCTTCTACGATCTGTCCAGCAAATACTATCAGACCATCGGGAACCATGCAGCCTATTACAAGGACGCCCTGCGCTTTCTGGGCTGCGTTGACATTAAGGACCTGCCAGGTAGCATCAGGGCTGCAGGTCCTCAGTCAGCCCCATGTGGAGCTTGGGGCACTCAGGCTCAGGGTCAGGCTGTTGTCACACATTGGGTCTCTGTAGAGACAGCCCTGTGCCCTGGCGTGGGACAGCCTATCCCTGCTGCAGCTTCTGTCAGCTCTTCCAGCTCCACACTGCCCTACTGTGCATCAGCTCTTTCCTGACCAGAGGACTCCTGGAGCTGCCAGAGGGGCCTGCTGAAAGCTCTGTAGCTGAGACCATGAAAGCCAGTCAAAGTGTTTTTCAAAGATTTGAGAGTGGAGAAAAAAGTGACCAGCGAGTTTTGAGGAAAGTGTTAGAAATACGTGTCAGGAAAGGATTTTCAGCTTTTTATTTTTTTGCATTGCGCTGCTGGCACTAAGGAGGTCGGCAAGCGCCAGAATGTGGGTACAGCTTTGACAGGGCAACCGCAGGAGGAAGCAGCTACAGTTGGGAAGGGACAAGGGAGCTGCTGCAGGGACACAGATCTGCTTGGTTCCAACCTGAAAAGGGCTGATGAGTTGGAGGTACCTCTGGGGACCACGAAGCACCCCCTTCTAGAAGTGGTTCAGGATCGTTTAGGGAAACACTGAGTGTGCCCACAAGGGTCAGTGTGTACGCCTGGTGGAGTCTACTCCTATCCTTTGAGAGAGGTGGCCAGTGATGAGACTCTGATGGGATCACTCAGAGTGTAAGTCCTGTGGTTTCTGTGGTGTGGGTCACAGAACTGCTGAAGGCCTGTGACTGACTGATGCTGTTTGTTGTAACTGCAGTGTCGGAGCAACAGGAGAGGGCTTTCACACTGGGGCTCGCGGGACTGCTCGGTGAAGGCGTGTTTAACTTTGGAGAGCTTGTAAGTAGGCCTGGACCCAGCTTCCTAGTGAAGGGATGCTTGTGGTTGCCCCTGGCTGACCATCTGCCCCTCACAGCCACATTCCCTGGGCTGACCATCTGCCCCTCACAGCTCATGCACCCCGTGTTGGAGTCGCTGAGGAGCACAGACCGGCAATGGCTTATCGACACCCTCTATGCCTTCAACAGTGGCAACGTTGAAAAGTTTCAGGCCCTGAAGACTGCCTGGGGCCAGCAGGTGAATTGGGGGGGTGGCTGAGTGCGCCAACATGTCCACGGGTCTCTGCATTTGCCTTACACATCTGCATCCACCTTTGTCTGCACACCTATCTCCCTTGGGTGCTGGAGGAGAGGGCTCGGGCTCACCTTATAGTAGCTGGCTTTGTCATGGAAACTTGTCAGATGGCATAGAAGGTGGGCTGGTTGCTGACCAGCAGAAAAATGTAGGTGTTTGCTGGATACAGCAAGCACTCCCTCTGCATTGGACAAGGTGCCAGAATTTGCTCCCCAACATAGTGGTGCTTTTTGTGGCATTAATGATGAGTGACTTTAAGGAGCTCTGGTGGCGTACTGCCCAAGGCATTTGACTCCTAACCAGAGGTTGGTGGTTCAAACCCACCAGCCACTCCGTGGAAGGAAGACTGGACAATCTACTTCAATAAAGATTTACTGCCTCAGAAACCAAAAGAGGGTTTCTATGAGTTGGAATAGACTCCATGGCAGTGAATTTTTTTTTTTTGTTTGTTTGTTTTTTGTTTTTTGGTTTAGAAATGAGTTGGGTGAACCAGTGAAGGGGCCTAGGAGAGTGCTTCAGCAAAGGGGCAGGGAGCTCCTGGTGGGAGCCGTGTTTGCAGAGCCAGCCTGGGGATGGGCGGGGGATACCTGGGGGACAGGCTGCAGCTGGCAAGATGGGTGCTTCCAGGGACCTGAGCTTTAATTGTACATTTTTGTTTTTTAACAAAGTTGTTAGGAAAAAACATTACTGAGTATTACAGTTACTTGTTCTTATTGGTAGCCACTGTGTTGGCATTCCTGTGTTCTGTGCTTTTCTGAAACTTTCGGTTTTTTCGAGTGTATAATGAACTTGTGAAAATCTACTCACATTGGAACTCAGTACAGGCAGACAACTCTGACCCAGCCAGCCCTTTGCTCTGACTGTACATGGTTCTTGCTCAGGAAAAATGGCCACTCAGAAAGCGAGGGACAACCAGGGCAGCTAAAGGAGAAAGACAGTTCAGAGGCTTGTTGGCTGCTCTGTCCAAGCCGCAGGAAACCTCCAGAAGGGTGGGAGAACCTTTGGGAAGAGCTTAGCACCAGTTCACGTGGTGGAGTATCCCTCTTGGGACTGCTGTGTCTCTGGCTGCCAGGTTCTTCAGCTTTGTGTCGTGGTCCATTCTTCTCCGTACCTATGTGCTGCCAGAAACCCTGACCCAACAGGAGCACAGGCAGGCGCAGGGGCTGCAGAGGGCATGTTGTTCTCAGGCAGTGATGCAATCTGCGCAGTACTTCAGCATTGCAGTTTCACAGGTGGATGGTTGTGGTGTCCTGCATCAAGCAGTTCTGTCATGCTGTTTCTCTAATGGCAGGTGCTTACTTTGTGTCTCTGTTCCATGTTTTGGGCTCTCACAGGATTTCTAACTTTTCCATCTTGCTATCACACACTTAGTGGACACCAAACCAAATCTCAAACCCATTGCCGTTGAGTGGATTCCAACTCCTAGCGACCCTTTAGGACAGAGTAGAGCTACCCCCGTGGGGTTTCCAAGGCTGTAAATCTTTATGGGAGCAGACTGCCTCATCCTTCCCTTGTGCTGATGCGTTTATGTGGCCCACATTTTGGTTAGCTGAGTGCTTTAACTGCTGTGCCACCAGAGCTCCTCTGATAGACTATGTTGTTGTTGTTAGGTGCAGTCGAGTCATCTCTAACTCATAGCGAGCCTATGCACAGCAGAACAAAACACTGCCTGGTCTTGTGCCAGCCTCACAATCCTTGCTATACCTGAACGCATCGTTGCAGCCACTGTGTCGACCCATCTTGTTAAGGGCCTTCTCCTTCTTCGTTGACCCTCCACTTTGCAAAGCATGATATCCTTCTCCAGGGAATGGTTCCTTCTGACAACATGACCAAAGTAGGTGAGAAGAAGTCTGGCCATTTTCGCTTCCAAGGAGCATTCTGACTGCGCTTCTTCCAGGACAGATTTGTTAGTCCTTTTAGCAGACCAGGGCACTCTTAGAATTCTTCTCCAACACCACAACTCAAAAGCATCAACTCTTCTTCAGTTTTCCTTATTCGTTGTCCAGCTTTCACATGCATAAGAGACGATTGAAAATACCATGGCTTGGATTAGGCGCACCTTAGTCTTCAAGGAGACATCTTTGCTCTTTAACACTTGAAAGAGGTCTTTTGCAACATATTTGCCGAATGCAATATGTCGTCTGATGTCCTGACTGCTGCTTCCATTTCTGTTGATTGTAGAATCAAGCAATGTGAAATCCTTGACTACTTCAGTCTTTTCTCCACTCACCATGAAGCTGTTTATTGGACCAGTTCTGAGGAATTTTGTTTTCTTTATATTGAGGTGTAATCCATACTGCAGACTATAGTCTTAAATCTTCATCAATAAGTGCTTCAAGTCATCCTCACTTTCAGCAAGCAAAGTTGTGTCATCTGCATATCGCAGGTTGTTAATGAGTCTTCCTCCAGTCCTAATGCCACATTCTTCATATAATCCAGTTTCTCGGATTATTTGCTCAGCATACAAGTTGAATAAGTATGGTAAAAGGATAAAACCCTGACACACCACTCACTTCTTGATTTTGAACCATGCAGTATCCATAATTTGTTATGATCCACACAGTCAAATGCTTTTACAAAGTTAATGAAACACAAGTAAACATCTTTCTGCTATTATTTGTTTTCAGCCAGCATCCATCTGACATCAGCAATGATATCCTGGTTACACGTCCTCTTCTGAATCCAGCTTGCATTTCTGGAAGCTCTCTGTCAATGTTCTGCTACAATCATATTTGAATTACCTTCAGTAAGATTTTACTTGCATGTAATATTAATGATATTGTTCCATAATTTCCACATTCTGTGGGATCCCCTTTCTTTGGAATGGGTACACATACGGATCTTTTCCAGTTAGTTGGCCGGGTAGGTGTCTTCCAGATCTCTTGGCGTAACCGAGTGAGTGCCTCCAGTGTGGCATCCTTTGTTGAAACATCTCAGTGGGTATTCTATCAATTCTTGGAGCCTTGTTCTTCGCCAGTACCTTCAGTGCAGCTTTGATTTCTTCCTCCACTACCATTGGTTCTTGATCACATGCCACCTCCTGAAATGGATGAAGATTGACCAGTTCTTTTTGGTACATTGACTTTGTGTATTCCTTCTATCTTCTTTTGATGCTTCCTGCATCTTCAATATTTTGCCCATAGAATCTTTCAGTACTGCAACTCGGGCTTAAATATTTTCCTCAGTTCTTGCAGCTTGAGAAATGCCGAGCATGTTCTTCCCTTTTGGTTTTCTTACTCCAAGTCTTTGCACATTTCATTATATAGTAATTGGTTTTGTCTGCTCAAGCTGCCCTTTGAAATCTTCTGTTCAGCACTTTTATCTTGTCATTTTTTCCATTTACTTTAGCTACTCTTAGCTCAAGGGCAAGTTTCAAGAGTCTCTTCTGACATCCATTTTGGTCTTTTCTTCCTTTCTCATCTTTTTAATGCCCTCTTAATTTTTTCATGGATAATGTTTTTGATGTCCTCCCATAATTCCTCTGGTTTTGATCATTGATGTTCATTGGATCAAATCTGTTCTTTAGATGGTCTCTAAATTTAGGAGGGATATTATCAAGGTCATATTTTGGCTCTCATGGTTTTGTTTTAATTGTCTTCAACTTCAAGTTGAACTTGCGTATGAGCGGTTAATGGTCTGTTCCACAATCAGTTCCTGGCTTTGTTTTGAGTGAACATACTGAACTTCTCCATCTCCTCTTGCCACAGATGTACTCAGTCAGATTCCTGTGTACTTCAACTGGTAAAGTCCACATGTATAGTCACTGCTTATGTTGTTGAAAAAAAGTATTTGCAGTGAATAAGTCGTCAGTCTTGCAAAATTCTGTCATGAGATCTCCAGCATTATTTCTATCTCCAAGGCCATATTTTCCAACTACCAGTAACTCTTCTTTGTTTCCAACTTTTGTGTTCCAGTCACCAGTGATAATCAACACATCTTGATTGCATGTTTGGTCAATTTCAGAATGCAGAAGTTGGTAGAAATCTTCAGTTTCCTCATTTTTGGCTTTGGTTGTTGGTGCATAAATTTGAATAATAGTAGTATTAACTAGTCTTCCTTGTAGGCATATGGATATTATCCTATCACTGAGAATGTTATACTTCAGGACAGATCTTGAAACATTCTTTGTGACAATGAACGCCACACCATTCCTCTTGTTTTTCTCGACGTAGTAGATCATATGGTTGTCTGATTCAAAATGGCCAAACCAGTCCATTTCAGCTCACTAATGCCTAGGATATCGATCTTTAAGCATTCTAATTCATTTTTTACAACTTTCATTTTTCTTAGATTCATACTTCATGCATTCCATGTTGCAATTATTAATGGATGTTTGCATCTCTTTCTACTCATTTTGAGTCATGCCTATAAACCAAATTCACTGCCATCGAGTTGAACCCGACTCATAGCGACCCCCTCCTTGGGTTTCCAAGGCATTATCAGTACGGAAGTAGATTGCCCAACCTTCCTTCCAAGGAGTGGCTGGTGGGTTTGAACCTCTAGCCTTCTGGTTAGCAGTCAAGTGCTTTAGCCACTATGCTACCAGAGCTCCTCCATCAGCCAATGGAGGTCCCAAAAGCTTTACTCTATCCATATGATAAAGGCCCTTTCTACTCTGAGGAGTCAGCTCTTCCCCAGTCGTATTTTGAGTCCCTTCCATGGGCTCATCTTCCGGCACTGTATTGGACAGTGTTTCATAGCTGTTCATAAAGTTTTCTAGTAACATACCAGACAGTGTTTCATTGCTCTTCATAAGGTTTTCACTGGCCAGTTGTTTGAGAAGTGGATGGCCTCTTTCTTCTTCTGAGTCTTGGTCTGGAAGCTTTGCTGAAACTCGTCCACCCTAGGGGACGCTGCTGGCATTTTGCAACATGCTGCAGTGGGCTACAGTATCATGTAATAGACTACAGTATTGTGTAGTCCTAACTTTTATATGCACTGGGAAGCCAACAAATTCATGTGACTCGCTTAAGGTACTCTATTGGAGTGGTCTGGAACCAAATCTGTACTGTCTCTGAGGTCTGCTTGTTCTTTTTACTCAGAGCAAGTCTCCTAGGCTGATGTGACCCTTTCCTCGCAGGGGCTGTGGGGCCAGTGGCAGTCTGTTCATCCCTGGGCAGCAACCCAGTGCTGTCCTCCTGTGCAGAGGCCTTCTGGAAGTTACCATACCCTGCATCCAGCCTTACGCTGTTTGTGGCTTTAGGACAGACTTTCCCTTGTAAACTCCGTATCTTGAAAATGGCCTTTCAGTTAGGAAGTCTTAAGATTTTTTTCTTAAGAGGAGTGAAGTTTGAGTCACTTAGAGCTAATTGTGAGCTCACGGTAGACGTGTGAAGTCTCAGACTTGCCCTCCTGCTGTAGAAAGAATTCAGAGCCTGGGTTGGGTGGCTGACAGCCACAAGGGGTGACACTGTTCTCCTGTCTGCTGCACTTACAGCCTGACTTAGCTGCTAATGAAGCCCAGCTTCTGCGGAAGATCCAGCTGCTGTGCCTCATGGAGGTAAGCGGTGCCGTGAGGTGCAGGCCCGGCTTGGGGCCAGAGCCCTCCTTTGGGGCAGTTGAACCCTCCAGGGACATTCTGCTGCTCTGCCCTGCTCCTCTGCTGCTCTGCCTTTGTCCTTTGTATTTGGGTCTTGAGAGGTTCCCTGACTATGACACTGAGATTCTTCCTTCCTGTTGCTGCTTCTCCTCTTGGCCCCTGCCCTCTGCCCCAGCCTTGTGCCTAGCTCCTCACCTAGTTTCACGCATGGCCACAGCCCTGAGCCCAGCTCCACACGTGGCAGTAGCCACACCCCTAGCTCCATGCCCAGCTTCACGCCCAAACAGTGTTCCTCACCCAGCTCCATGCATGGCCACAGTCCTGGCCCTACACCTTGCTCCTCACCCATCTCCACACATGGCCATGGCCCCCTGCCTAGTTCCATACTGAGCTCCACTTAAGACCATGGCTCCATGCCCAGCTCCACATGTGGCCCTGGCCACAGGCCCATCCTCTTCGGTAGGTGGATGATGCCAAGTTGTATGGTTAAAAGGCTGTTTTTCGCTTAACCTTAAGTGAGCATCAGAAGTTTGTTCTCCATGGGACATGTGACCACTGTGAAGAGAGGGTTACCGTGTGGGCTTTTCTTTCTTTTTTTTATTTTATTAGGATTTGGGTGAAGATTCACAGAGTAAATTCACTTTTCATACAGCAGTTCACATATACTTTGTCTCATGTCATTGACCAAAATTTACAATGCAGCAGCTCCCTTCCCACTTCCTCCCCATAGTTACCTCCTCCCAGTGTCCATCCCTTCATACTCTTCTGCACCCTGAGCTATCTCCCTGCGCATAAGCAGCCCTTCCTTCTCCCATGATTGTTCTCTCCAGGGCATGTGTCTACTTGAGGTAAATGTTTAACTCACATGCCTGTACTTTGTTTGGCTGGAAACCACAGTTGTGGGTTCAATTCCAGACCATAGTCTCAGTGGTTACACCAGGCTCTATTGGACCAGCAAACCTGGTCCCCCACCTTCTTTTTTTTTTTTTTTGCTCATTTTCTTAAATGAGCTGTACTTTCAGTGCGAGGGTGGACAGACTTTTTATCAGCTAGCCCTCTGATGGTTTTTATTTGGAAATATTGCTTGTAAACAAAACTTTTTCAGATGACTTTCACACGGCCTGCCAACCACAGACAGCTCACTTTTGAGGAAATTGCCAAAAGCGCCAAGATCACCGTGAACGAGGTTTGTTCTTTTGGGCTCGAAGCTGCCATCTGAGGCGCCGCGTGTCTGAGCTCCCAGGCTCCATCAGAAATGGCAAAAGGGAGCGTCTGGTTTCCACCTGTATTTGGAAAGCCGGTTGGATCCAGGTAGGAGCAGGTGGTCAGCAGGTGTCAGCCCTGCCCTGTTCCATCTGCAGGTGGAGCTGCTGGTGATGAAGGCACTGTCAGTGGGGCTGGTGAGAGGCAGCATCGACGAGGTGGACAGGCGCGTCCACATGACCTGGGTGCAGCCCCGCGTGCTGGACCTGCAACAGGTGGGTTACAGACGCAACCTCCTAGGCTTGGGTGCGCCTGGCTCCTGCTTTGGTTGGACAGGTGCCATCTAGGGCAACGTATTATTAGGCAAGAGATTTTGGAGAATGAATGACTGCTCTAGTGACCAAAGCTTTCAAACAACAATTCAGTGCCAGCCTGGATTTGAACCCTGCAGTTAAAAGCTTACTGTGACAGCAGTGAGGCTGTACTCATAGCACCTTTTAATCCTAAAATTGGTGTTCTGACCACACAGATTCCTGGTTCTGTGGTTTGAGCTGAAAGCCACCTTGTTGCGTTTGCTGGAGATTTAATCTTGTGGATTTCCTCTATTCTTGCCTGTTTCCTCTCTTCCTAAATGTCCTGTGATAAGAGTTGATCCCGGGGGATAATCCTGTCACCCTGTACCACCCCCGTCCCTGGCCCCCAGTTCCCAGCTCATGTCTTTTTTCCTGACACTACCCTAAGGAGTTAAAGAGTTAGCGGGGACTGAGAGCTGCAGCCTACTGCAATGAGGTAGGCAGCGTGTGGTCTTATCTGCACAGATCAAGGGCATGAAGGACCGCCTGGAGCTCTGGTGCACAGACGTCCGCAGCATGGAGTTGCTGGTGGGGCACCAGGCCTACGACATCCTCACCTAGTGTCTGGCCAGCAAGACCTGCATCTCCCAAGCAGCTGGGTGATGACTGTTCCTCAGGGTGTGGGAGCAGCTGGGGCAGGGGCAGAGCAGGAATGCAGCCTATGGGGGTGCTCAGAGGGCTCAGGGTGTGGAGCTGATCTCCACCCGTACCTAGCTGTGTGTGCATCTTCCACTGGAGCCCAAGGATATCCCTCAATAAATGTCTCTGCTCTGTCCTTGTGGTTCTGTTTCTTGGGGCTTAGCTTCCAGGTCAAGCCTGTGCCCAAAGGGACCGGAACTCTTGAGATAGAGCCTGGGTGGGTTTGGGGCCTGGGCATGGCCCTTCCCTCCCTGGCAGGTGGCACACGGGTGGGTTGTCCTCCCAGGGAGCCCACGCACACCAGGTCTCACACACAATAAGCACAGGAGCATGTCAGGGAGCCTTTATTGTCATGGTTCAGCCATATTGACGGGGTGTCACTCGGCAGAGCTCTTCTTGTATTTCTCCAGATGGGACAAGACCCAGCCTGCAGGGAGCAGGAAGGTGAAGAATATGGCTACCAACCCGACGGCCTGCTCCTGTCAGGGAAAGGACAGTGCAAGTCAGTGTAGGGCTGCTGGGGAGTATCTGCCTGTCTATGTGTCCTGAGACTCCCTCCCCACGGGCCACTCTTGAGAGGTAGAGGCAGGCTGACTCCACTGCCCTGGGCTTTGTCCTGCTGCCTCCGACTTCTGGGCAGGACGTGTGCAGTGAACGTGTGGCAGCCTGATTCGTGGTACTGGGCTGGGGGCAGCTGCGGGGCCTGTTGTCCAGAGAGGCCAGGATGTGGTTGTGGCCTCAGACCAGCTTGGCTCACTTGTGTGCCATAGGACAACCATGCACCCAACCGTACCAGCTCACCTCTGGTCCTCTCGGCACTCACCTGGCCTTGCCACCCTTTCCCTTGGCAGGGGGATGCATGCTTTATGCATGCATGCTTAGATGCACAGGCCCACAGTTCTCTGTGCAGTGTGCACATGGTGGGGCCACTCTGAGTGGTGTGGGTAACCAAGGATTTAAGCTGCCCCCACAGAAGCCCAGTCCCTGCCTGTACCACAGCCCGTCCAGAGAGGTGTTGGTGTGTGTGTGTGTGTGTATACCCACAACCTGTCCAGAGAGAAAGTGTGTCTATGTCTGCACCCACAGCCTGTCCAGGGGTGGGATGTGTGTATGTTTACACACCCACAGCCTGTCCAGAGAGAGAGTATGTACGTCTCTGTCTGCACCCACAGCCTGTCCAGAGAGAAAGAGTGTGTGTGTCAGTGTGTCTGCACGCGCAGCCTGTCCAGGGGTGGTGTGTGTGTGCACATACCTACAGCCTGCCCAGAAGATGAGGAAAAAGGATCAGGTTCTTGTACCGTGTGTGTATATGTGTGCATGTTATGTGTTTCCATATGTAAAGAGTCCTGGTGACAGTGGTTAAGCACTCTGCTGCTAACTAAACCCGCCAGCCACTTGGAGGAGGAAGATGGGGCAGTCTGCTCCTGTAAAGATTATAGCCTGGGAAACCCTATAGGGCACTTATGCTCTGTCTTACAGGGTCACTATGAGTCATAATTGGCAATAGGTTTAATGGGTTTCCACATGTTGTGTATGTACATGTATTCTGAGGGTGTATGTGAGTGCATGTGATCATGCATGTAAGTGTGTGTACATACTGTTTGCATATGTATGTTATATTTGTATAAAAAAAAAAAAGAGTCACCAGCATCAAGTCAGTTTCAACTCATAGCATCCCCCTTTGGGTTTCTGAGGCAGTAAATCTTTAACAGAAATAGATTGCCCAATCTTCTTTCCATGGAGTGGCTGGTGGGTTTGAACCACCAACCTTCTGCTTAGCAGTCAAATGCCTTAGGCACTGTACCACCAGAGCTCCTTGTATATGTGTATAAGTGTGTTTTCATAGGCATGTGAGAGTATTTGTACATATGAGTGTGTGTATACACGTGTATATGTGTACATGTTTGCAGAGGTGTGTGTGTATGTATATAAGTGTATGCACAGGCATGTGTATATATGTGTGTGTGTGTATAAGGAGCCCTGGTGGTGTAATGGTTAAAGCATTTGGCTGCTAACTAGAAAGTCAGTAGTTCAAACCTACCAGCTGCTCCACAGAAGAAAGAGGAGGCAATCTGCCTCTGTAAAGATGCATAAGTAAGTATGTTTGCAGAATATGTGGATGGATGTCTGAGTGTATGTGTGTGTATGCAAGAGTGTGTTTGTATAAAAAAACAAACCAAACGCACTGCCATCGGATTGATGCTGACTGGTTGAGATTCAGTCATTGCATTGCCAAGGCTGTAAATCTACAGAGGTAGATTGATGCGTCTTCCCCCAGTGGAGCAGCTGATGGGTTTGAACTGCCACCCTACTGGTTAGCAGCCAAATGCTTTATCCACTACACCATCAGAGCATGTGTGTATGTGTGTGTGAGACACACACACAGGGATCTTGCCCGGAACCCACTGTTTTCAGTGGATCTAGACAACAGCTGAGGCCCCTTTGCTCGGTTTTCTCCTAGCAGGAGCCTGGTCCAGCCCCCCCGATTTCCTAAAACTGGGTCTGTGCTGGGTGGAGAGCTGTCCTGGCCTTGAACAAGTTAGGCTTAGCGCTGTGACCTTGGGCAGGTGACCTAGACTTCAGCTTACCGATGCCAAGGCTGAGACTCTGAGATTGAGGAGCCAGGTAGTTTGTGACCGGTTCCTGACCCTGAGCCCCTCCAGAGGAGTCCACGGCTCCCCTCCCTGCAGTGAGCCTGGAAGAGCCCCCCCCATGCCCTAAATGCACCTGGTCCTGCTCTGAGCACCCCCCACCCACCCGGCCAGGGGCCCTCAGTGCCTAGAGAATACTCACCCTGGCGGAGGTGGGCGTTTGGGCCGGCCTGGCAGAGATAGGCGCCCTGGGAATCACTTGGCTCCTCAGGGGGGCTCGGAGCAGCCGCACGGCGGGGGACAGCCTCAGCATGGCTCTTGGTGTCTGCACAGAGTGCCCTCTGCTCCAGAACGGCTGGCTTTTTATAGCCCGGAGAGGACTGCAGCTGTCCCTTCCTGTCGCCAGGCTTGGCAGGGGGATGCTTGCTTAGAGCCCAGAGAGAGCCAACTTCAGATGCACCCTGAGGGCCATCTCTGGGAGTGAGGCTGAAGACAGCTCAGGGTCTGGGCTTTGGGGGCCCGTAGAAGGAGCCTCACTTGTGTGAGAGATGGGAGCTCGAGAAAAGCCTGGCCTGAGGTCAGATTGGAGAACACGGGGCTGGCTGTAGATGGAGCTCAGCCAGCTTTTAGGCCCCAGAGGTGATTGCCTTGTGAAGGTTTGGGGCAAGGCCTCAGTGCCAGCCGGTGCCTGTTTCCTCTGCTCGCTCTTGTCGGGTGGATGGCCCCATTGCCCTTTCCAGGGGGCAAGGCAGTAGTCCTCTCACTGTGCTCTGGAGACTAAGGCAGCATCCTCAGCATGGTCTTGGGACAGGAGCTCAGCAGGCTTCTCGGTGCTGGCTGTGGAGCATGTCTGACCCCTAGTCCCTGCCTCTGCTGCACAAGCCCAGATACGGATAGAGGCTCCAGACCTCCCTGGTCAGTACTAAAGACAGGGGCAGCTCTCCCAGTAGGTCCCACTGAGGCTTGACCAGGACCAATTGTCCTGGCCCCAGTCTGCTGTCTCCAGCCAGAGCCCCTGCCCCACTGGACCATCCTGGGAGTTGGGCTTAGGCCCTGCCCTGGGTCTTTCAAGGACGTGGGCACCCAAGCCTGCACCCTTCCTCCCCTCCCCTTCCAGCTGCTCAGGCTTCATCCCACTCCACATCACCATTGTGGATACAGCCGAGTCTGATGACTGCCCTGCTCACCACTGCAGTCTCTTGATCCGTGTGATCTGTGACCTGTTCTTCCATCTTGTCATGTCCTCTGCTCCACTCACCATGGGAGAACTTCCTCCTGACCACGGCCTCCAAGGCCCTGAGCCATCCGACCACCCTGCCTTGCTGGTACCAGCTCCTGCCCGCATCCTTGGCACTTCCAGCCCCTTTGCTGGGACCCTTTCGCGTGTGTTTCCACTCAGCCGATGTCCTCACCCCCTCAGCTCTCAGAGGTTTCCCCTCTATGCCTCCAAAGCACCCCTGCAGCTCTCTCTATGCCTCCCTGCAGCTCTCTCTGCTCCAAGCACAATTGCTTCATGGGGTGTGCTCGTCCTGCTGGCTGTTGCCCTTGAGGAGGCTAGAGCAGGGCCTGGCCCCCCACTTCTCAGTGTTGGGTGAGGGTGGATGGAGCTTGTTAGGGGGCTGGTGCTGGGCTAGACGTGGGGATACAAGGCTGACCTCTTCCCGCCCTGCCCAGAAATGAGAAAAATGTGGGGTGCGACCCTACCCACCTGCTGAGGACACAACTGAGGGGGTGCAGCCCCAACTTTACCCCACAGCTGTCTTCCTGCCAGACCATAGTGGGCCCAAGCCTGGGGCTGGGAAGAGATAGAGCTGTGTCCACATCAGTCTGAAGCCCTCAGGCCCCACAGGACAGTGGTGCCCCCACCAGCTTGTGTAGAAATGGTGGCTTCAGGAGTGCTTTCCCTCTGCCAGTTTCCATTGCTCTTCCCAGAAACCACGTGGTTCCCCCCCCCCCCAGGCTACAGGCCTGTGTCCTGAATGTTATCTACCAAGTGGCTCCAGGGCCTGGGGGCTCTGCCCCTCCTCTGAATAATCCTTCCGCCTCAGCCTGTAATTACAGCTTTGGGGTCCAGCGAGGATCAGCTGGCCTGGGTGTTTCTTTCAGTGATAAGGCCCCCTCAGGCCTGGCTCTAGAGCAGCTTGGGGGGAGGGACTGCAGCTGCTGTCTCCAGCTGAGCTCCCCAAGTCAGCTAACCCAAAAACAACCAAACTCACTGCCATTGAGTCAATTCGACTCATAGCAACCCTTCCTTGGGTTTCCAAGGCGGCGTCTCTACAGAAGTAGATTGCCCACCTTTCCTTCTGAGGAGTGATTGGTGATGGGTTTGAA